ATTATTTACATCCTCAAACGTATATATATTTTTCTGTAGAAAATAAAAGAATATTTTAAAGAATATTTAGACAGCTCTTTCGGATGTACGCTCCAAAAATGACTAAATAAATAATAAAACAAAATAAAATCAATCAATTTATCTATCAATCAATCAATTAAAAAAAACACAATTAAAAACTCATGACTCGTGCTGTATTCCAAGACTTTTGTGGTCATATACATATTTTTTAAAATATTTGTTTATATATATATATATATAAAAAAAAAAAATGTATGTAAATATACATTGACTGAATGTATATTCACAAAAGTGACTGAAGATATTTAGTCTTGTTTTCTGATGAATAGTTTAATATTAAGAGTTTAAAAAATATCTGCCAATGGAGGAAGAAAAATAAATAAAATTAAAATAGAAAACAATAATTTTTCTGACCCCACTGGCAGATACTTTTTCTAGTTTTAAACATACATTTAATTAATTTTGATGCATTTTCCACTAAATGTGTCTTGATTTAAGAATGTTTAGATATTTGTACTGGAAAACAAGACAAAAAAAATATAATGAGTTTTGCTGTGTATAGTTTATATTAATATTTAGAATTATTTTCATCTTAATTTTATTTAAAATTTTAGTATTTTTTTCATTTGCATGAGTAATGTTTTGTAAAAATGTTTGTATAGTTTATTCATTTTTATTCAGTTTTAGTTATTTTAATACATCAAGTACATTTCTATCATTTCTTACAAATTTTACTTTGTTTCAGTTTATTTTTTGTTTTTATAAAAAAGTTTTTAATTTTATTTCAGTTTACGTTTTTCATATTTTTTTAATGAAAAGTTTATTTTTAAATATTTAATTTCAGTTAAAGGTTACTTTATTTAAAGTAACATTTTTTAAAACTATAGTAACCCTGGTCCCTCCTCCTAAATAAAAGAGCCAATCACCAATTCCACCAATTCGCTCATCACTGCAGGTGTCATTAGAAGCTCTGGTTGCCATAGAAACAGTCAGCATCCTGAGCATCCTGAGACAGACCAACCTGAAGTAACAGCTATATTTAATACTACATGAGCGTAAGAAAAAACATGTGACTTTTTTGAGATTTCAATATATTTCCCCATTCAGGGGGACAGAAGTTAGTCTTGTGTGACCCGAACTCGCAGAGTGAACTGACTTTATTTGAAAGAGGCTTTGATGAGGATGAGTAAATAATGATGAGTGTTCATTTCTGCTGAAGTATTCCTTCTTATTCCTAAGTGTGGTGTATTCAGCCTGAAATCCTTTGTAATTGGGCTGAACTGTATTCTTCAGGCGGCTGTGAGTCACTGAGTTTAGTAGTTGCTCATTTAGCCTCTAACCACCGTATTTTTGTCTGCTTTTCCTGTCCTCTTGTGCTCCTTAATCTGCATCATTGGCTTTTTCACCGCAGCTGCTCACAATCACGAGTGACGAGACCCTTCATCAGCCACTTCCTCCTCATCCATCAGCCTCCTGCTTTCATGTGTTATTTTGATAACTGCTTCAGATTGCTTCTGTATCCAGAGTCTGTTCTTTGGTTATTTTAGCAACGCTGAGCGTTTTTAGGGCCGGAAGTTTAGTGGGTTTCTGGCAAGACTAGTTCATGGTTATAGGCTACTGAAAGCTTCAGGAAACCTTCTGTGTGCTGGAGTGTTGGAATATGTGAACTAAATCTCTTCTGAATGTCTGTGTAAAGCTGAGTCACAGTAACCTGATGTTGGCTAATTAGCTATGAAGGCAGTCTGGTGGTGAGCACTTCTCAAAGTTTTCACAGTAACTTTTCACTAAGGAAGGGAATAGAATTGTTCTGGTGCTTCAGAGAGTTTGGATGCCCCATCAAATTGTTAGACGAGCGTATTTTCTGTTAAAGTAACGGGAAAACATATCAAAGTGCTTGTCCATTTTTCAAAAAGTTACTTGTCCATTTTTCAAAAGGGAAGTTACTGTTAACCATAACAGGTTTTTCTTGTAGCATTTTTACCAGTGTTATTTTAGTATCATTGTTATACCATTTTGAAATAGATGTCATTTTTAAATTTTCTGTTTTCTATTTAATTTTAGTTAAAGTTTTAGTAATTTTGTTGTATTTTTAAAATATATTTAAATATGTTTTATTAATTATTATTTGTGTTTTAGTACATGAAGTTAAACTAAATGATAAAGAAAATGAGAATTGTTTTCTTGGCAACTAGCTGAAATAAAATAATTATTGAAGTTATTTATATTTTTATATATGTTTTTTTGGTTTAGTAATTTTATTTAATTTACTATTTTCATT